AGTTCTGTACAGCACTTACCGCTTTTCTCTAAGTTTGAGATAGTTTCAAACTTAAAATAACAATAATGGGGGGAGGGAATAGCTCCGTGGTGGAGCACATGCTTGGCATGCACGAGGTCCTGGGTTCCATCCCCAGGACCTCCATTAAAATAACTAAGTAAATAAATAAACCTAATTACCTCTGCCCTCAAACAAAAATAAAAATGAAAAATTTTTTAATTTTAAAAAATAACAGTAATGAAAGAAATAGATGAGGAAAAGGCAACAGGAACATGGCTCACTTAGAACAATGGGATGAATTAGCAGATCAGAGTCATCTAAGATGGTCAGAGGATGATCTTCCAGTTGCGTCAACGGGGATAACTAAAAGGATGTTTCTTTTGGGAAAAGGGATTGGGACAGTTAATACGTTACCTAGTTTGAAGTAGAGGAATTATAATGGTACTATTATATATTCCTTATAGAATAATACAAGGAGAAAGTGAAATAATTATACAAAAGAAGTGAAACTGGATGTACAGACAGAGGACAATAAAATACCATTGCTTTCCATAGGGGAAAAAACACATTTAGAAAGGCACATGAAACGCGGCGTAGATGTTAATGGCAGCCTTGATGGGCTGGGAATCTGCTGCATAAAGAAGGGAGAAGTCCCTGGGATTGAGGAGCAGAAAGGAGACATGTGGGGGGTGGTAGCAGGGGGAGCGAGCACGGGGGTGGAGAGTACCTGGCAGAGCTGGGCGGTGGTTTGCATTCTTGTGACCCTGGCAGTGAGGTCAGCCAGGAGCAGACACAGCTGGGGTTTGACGCCATGAAACACTGTGAGTCAGAGTTTAAATGGGACCTGGCTATGGGGCCCTCTTATTATGTCAGTGGGCGCTAACGCAGGGAGCCACAGAAATCCAGGTAAACATCGTCCCAGGCGGGGCCACGCTGGGTCTGGTTAACGCCACCAGGGCAACATCTGGGGAGGAGTTCAGTAGGAGCCTGTCCCTTAGGTGAAGGAGGTGACTTACTGAAGCTGTGAGCCTGAGGGAGCTACTGGGGTCTGCTCTCTGCACGTGCATCTGGTCCCGCCTGTTCTAATCCCTGGCATCATCATCTCAAGGGAAACCTGGTCTGGGTTAAGGCCAAGGTGCACGCTCTGGGGGCCCAGGTCTTGTCCTGGGTCCAGAGCAATGCAGGCAGCCACTCGCCTCCCTCCAGGCCCTGCAGAGGGCTGGTCCCAGCAGAGGGAGAGCTGACCACCACCCCCCGACATCCCCTTAACTGGTGGAAGCAGCTGCAGATGACTTCATCTTTTTTAGTCACATCCTTTCCCCTGCAGTTACATGTACAATACAGCCCCATCCATCTTCTCTTTGTAGCTCTGATTTGATGTTCCACAAATTCTCTGAACTCTGTGTCCTCCTGTTAGGATGTTTGCTGTACAGTGTTCCAATTACTTGAGAGTAGGTGACCCTGCCTCTCAGGCAGGAATATCTTCACACTGTTTTTCCTAAATTAGAAAACTATTTACACCTCATTTATGGTGAGATAGGAGATCCCACCAAGCAAAGCAATTTTCTACTAAACATTATTTACCATTTTCTGTGAGAATTTTGACATGCTGGGATAAGCACAATTTAAATTTATTCAGAGACCACATTTAATGCTCAGCACATTGAAAACATCTAAAAAGATCTCTTTTATATTCCGCTCTTCTGTCAACTTTTTTGACCTGGAATGTCAGCGCTTGACACCTGATTCTGTGTAACTGACAGATCTAGAGCACACTTGGCAGTCGTGACCCTGCCTTTCTAGCCAAGCCGGCAGCAGCGTAGAGCAGTCGGGGTTCTCTGCACATCCACTTGTTACACTCCATCAACATTTGTGCACAACGCTCCCTAACAGACAGGGAGCCTGCAGTTTTGAAAGCATTCGAAACGTTATAATCCGTCACACACACACACAACCCTGTTGAACTAACAATTCAGCAAAGTTGCCGGGTGTGGAATTGACAGGCAGAAATGAGCTGTATCTCTGTGTACTAGCAACAGTGTTCTTACCCCAAAAAAGGGTAAATACATGAAGTGATGAGTGTGTTAATTATCTCAGTGGTGGGACTCCTTCCACAATGTATCAATATAGCAAATCACTGCCTTGTGCCCTTTAAATATGTCATGAAGTATTGGTCAATGATACCTCAATTAAGCTCAAAAAATTAAAGCTGAAGATGAAGGGGATGCTGACACCAGCCAGGGCTGGATGAACCCTGAGGCCATCATGCTAAGTGAAACGAGTCACAAAAGGACAGATACTGTATGGTTCCACTTACATGAGGTCCCTGGAGTATTACATTCCTAGAGACAGAAAGTAAGACAGTGGGGGCCAGGGGCTGGGGGAGGGGGGGTTGTTTAATGGGGACAGAGTTTCAGTTTTTCGAGATGAAATGTCCTGGAGACGGATGGTGGTAATGGTTGCACAACGATGCGAATGTTAAGTAATGCCGTTGAACTGTACACTTAAAAATGGTTAAGATGATAATGTTTAGGTTATGTGTATTTAATCACAACTGAAGAATTTTAAAGTTACATTCCTTCTAAACTAGAGTTCCTTAACATGATTTTGCCTGAGGTCATGTTTATAATAAAACCAATGAGGTGAGGGTGGAGCATGTGCTTGGCATGTATGAGGTCCTGGGTTCAATCCCCAGTGCCTCCATTTGAAAAATAAACCTAATTACCTCCCCCCAAAATAAATTAACTTTTTAAAAAAAGGTCAGAATATGGATTCCACAAGGATTTGTTCAGAGACTTCAGAGAGAGCCACCCATGTGCTTTAAGTCCCAGCCCTCAGGGAAGGGGCAGGGGCCACTGGACCTCAAGGGAGTCATTAAAGGGGCCACAGGGAGAGCTGGTTACATGCAGTGGGGGCCCCAGAAAGAGGTGTCTGATTCCCACCTGAGACATCGGAAGGTGGGGGAGATACCGAGCCTCTGCTAACAGCACAGCGGGGAGGGGTGGCCAAGTGGGAAGGCGGCACCCCCAGGACGCTGCGGGAAAGGGGCACGAGTGCTTCCTGTGGCCAGACGTGGGCCCACCTAAGAGAAAGCCATTGTGGGTCACATCTCAGACGTCCAGAGAGGCCACCTGGATCAGCAAAGAGCCGCAGGTAGCACTGCCCTCCTGTGGCTCTGGGAGAAACACACACAGTGAGCCAGAAGGACTCTGGCTCTCCTCCCCTCAGCCGCACTCTAGAACAGACAGGTGTTCCGGGACCCTCAGGATGACCTGTGCCAGGGAAGAACAGAGCTGACCCCATCCTGCACCTGTTTCTTTTACTCTAACCCCTGGATTCTGTTGCTTTTGCTACAAGTTGATCACTCAAGGGAGGTTGCCTGTGAGCTTAAGTGATCCATAGTGGCCCAGCCCGGGAACCCTGTCTCCCAGGCATGAGCCTTAAGCTAAAACACCTTTCACAGCTCCCGGGAAACATCCTGACCAGGCCCACCTGTGAGTGGCTGCGGGAAGGAAGACACGAGCTGGAGGCTGACGGGAACCAGGAAGTGTTGACTTCACTTCCGCCCTTTTCCATATCAAAGAAGCCTCAATTCTAACTCAGGTGAGGTGGTTGTCTGGGACACTGGCCCACCATCTTCTCGGTCTGCGAGCTTTCTGAATTGTCACTATTCCTTGCCCCCACAGCTGTCTCTCGACTTATTGGCCTGCTGGGCAGCAAGCAGTGTGAACAGAAGCCCACGTGGGCGCTGCCCGCTCGTGTGGGTGGGCGCAGGGGGAGAGAGAGAGAGAGAGAGAATAGGTTTAGGCATCTGCCAGCACCAGAGGGTAGGAAGTCAGCTCAGGGCCGAGTCAGCTTAGTCCTGATTATTCCTTGTCTTGCTTCCCTGGAATGCCGAGGAACCTCCAGCCCCACAGTGGTCAGAAACACGCTCAGCAAACTGGAGGCATCTGGGAAGAAACGGAACATTGGATGGAGGATGAGAGAAATGCCCTCTCCCTGGCAGCAAGCTTCCCACCTGGCAGAGGAGAGACACCTCAGTCACATCGAGCTTGAGTCTAGAAAACTGCGGGCACTGAAAATGGTGGTTGCTGTATTGTGACGATTTATGAGACTTAGGAGCGACTTCCAGAAGTCATGGAGCTGCTTGAGTTTTTATCCAGGTACAGATAAAAACCAGCCCCACTGAATGAATTTAAACGAACACTGACATAAAATAAAGTCATTTCATGGTAGCAAGCCATGAGTGATGTCTGTTCAGTGAACAAACTACAAGTGTGCAGAAAACAAATAAAACTTTGAAAAATGGGATGTCTCTTGAAATACCTATCTTACTAATTTTTAAACAGGTTGCTTTTTCAGATTATAACAGTAGACTCATGAGAATTTAGAAAAAAATGAAATATTAAAAGAAAAGTTTTAATAAAATAAATTTTACATTATCATTATAAAATAAAATAATTTGTATAATGGAAACTTGTGATAAAATACCCACATTATCCGATCCCTATTTCTTACAGTCTGAACATAAAGTGCCCTTTCCCAGTGGAAAAACAAAATGGTATTCAAATGTTCCAACCATTATCTTTGACAGTGTGATTATAGGTTTTTCCCCTCTTCGCTGCCTGTTTGTGGAAGCAGACAGCTGTAATTTTGTCTCCCCAGCTCGCTGCCCACGCCACCTGTCTGCACTTTGCTGGAAGCAGCCTCCCCCGACCATGAATCTGGTCCCCTCAGAGCTGCCACGCTCCCAGGTGACGCATTTGTTACTCTTCACATCTAAAGATGGAGAACCAGCAAGCCAGCACCTGTGGATCTGGCAGTGGAACAAAGGCATGTAAGTTTATACTCTTTCTTTCCGGGAGTGGCAGATAGCAGCCCTTTCCTCTTCTGGGAACTGGGAAACAGAGTGAGATAAGAGAGAAACACTCAGGCCCACACTCGGAGAGGGGCGGAGATGAGGGGGAGAAAGTCCTGCTGGCCTTTGAGTCACGCCCGAGGTCCACGTGGCCTTTCTGTCTGTGGCTTCTGTGTGAGGGGCCCCAACCTGAAAATCAGTTCCTCTTCTTTGCTAGAGCTCTCATTGTTAAATGTCTGTAATCTGAAAGTAAACACATTCATTAATATCTTTACGTGTTCTAATTTTCCTTTTTTGAAGAGATGCGTATATACTTAACTAAAATTTCCTGAGGACATAGGACTGTCCTAATTTACGTGTGGGATCTGCGTCCACGCTAAGGGGACACGGAGAAGAGCACACTGGATGTTTCCCTTCTGCCCCCGTGTGTGCGTTCTGTCTGTGCTTAAAACAAAGTAGCAGTATTTAAAAGGGGAGAAAATCACACAATGACAGGTGAGGGGCTGTGCGTGTGCCTGTGTGTACATTTGTGTGTGTGCACATGTGTGATCACGTGTGTGCATATGTGTGATCACGTGTGTGTGATTGTACGTGTGTTGTGTGCGCATATGTATGTGATTGCATGTGCATGTGATCTCGTATGTATGTGATCATGTATGTGTGTGTAGTTGTGTATGTGTGTGACTGCACGTGTGTGTGAGTGTGTGCATGTGTGTGTGTAAGAAGCTCAGTCCTGCCCTCTCCCTGGGTACAGTTGAAGTCATCACCAACTTCTTACATGTCTAGCAGTGTCCTGGCTTCTGGATAAGCTGCTGGCGCCATGTCCCTTCCATTACACGCCACTGTCCACTGACCAGCTAGGAGGAGGGGTACAAGAAGTGTGGTCCCGCCCCAGAGGGCCATCTTGCGCTGGCCTTGTCTGGTGGTTACACTCTCTCCTCTAAGGTGCGTCACTCCCCAGGCTGCCTGCCTCGCCCGACCCCAGATATGAGGGTCACTCCTCACGGACATCTCGAGTGGATGGGGAGGGAGGGACTCCCACCCCAACACGTCCCACCAGCCGCGGTTCTTTTATACCAACTGACACTTGACCCAACTGCGTTAGTCAGGTGTCCTCTTCTGGGGACTCCAAAGAGTTGGTCAAGGCCTGGAGCTGAGAGCAGTCACCTGGAATCAAGACCACTTTGGTCATGTGTGCCCCACGTCAGAGGAAGACATCTGTCTGCAGACACGGGGCACGAGGCAGCTGGGCCCAAAAACTGCTCTGTGATTTTCCAGAACGGGAGGACCAGAAATGGAACGACTGCCTTCACACCTGAGTGTGAAACAACAATCCCCAAGTGCCTCTCTGGGCTCCGATTTTGAACTGAGCTTAGCTCTCCTGGAAGCATCTTCTTCCAGCTGAAATCTGTCTTTGACTTCCATCAAATATGCCAAGTCCAAAATTCTGTCATCAGTGTTGCTGCATCACTGGGGCCTTTTCCGGAGACCTTCGGAGGTCACCCTGTGGTTCTCACTTTCCGGACTTTGTGATGTTAGATGCATTGTCCGTCCTGGTGAGATTCTTGACTTTCTCAAGGGAGAATGGAGGATAGTTTTGGGGTAAAGGAGTGCAGGGGATTCTAGGGATTTCAGCGTCAAGCAGGAAATAGATGTGGCCACCAGGTGGCAGTAGCGCACACAGACGTCATCAGGTCGGCTTTGACAGGTTTGCATCTCCTCCTCCCAGGGGCAGGAGACCATCCAAAGGATGCTGTGTGGGAGACCACAGCTCCAAAGAGGACAAGGGCAGGGGACTCTCCCATCCCAGGGAGAGAGAGGTCAGAGATGGGGTTTACATGACAGGCGATGTCTCTGGGCTGAGTCTCTGGACCAGAGAGCTCCAAAGAGTGCAGTGGCTTTATCTTACCTATACCTAGCAGATGGTAGGCACGCTTTCTCAGGGTATGCCAGGCAGGCAAGCTCTAAACGGTTAAAAATCTGCTTGCTGGGGCTGTGTTTAGAGCAACTGGATGTCTGAAAATCTGAGTTTGTTTTCAGCAGACTTTGGAGCTAACACATCTCAGCCTGCTGTGAAGAAAGAAACCATCTGGGGCCAACATACAGAGGTCATCTGTGGCCCACTCAGGTAACCAGGAGGCAGGGGATGCTGGAAAGAAGAAAGAAAAGGTAGGTAGGGCTTACACATTTCATTCTTTTAAAAAGAAAAGCCAGTAATTCATGAAAAACGAGAGACTGTTACGAAGCTTCTGATGAAATAAAGGAACGGATTCAGATGGTGAAAACTCCCTCGGTGGAGCTGAACTTCACCAATCAACCAACTTTGAATATTAGCCACATTTATTTCCTTTGAAGAAAAAGACTCACATGCAAAACATTTGACCGAAAGGTAGTTCCTTTGAAAGTACCCACGTAAGATTTTCTCCAAAAGCATCGTGTGTGGGTGCATGCTTTTTTTCTTCATGATTCAGAGTGGAAGATGAGGATGGTGCCTGCGAGCTTTCCTCTATAATGTCGCATCTGTAAGGATGTGGTCCTACATATTCTTAGGATACTTTCAGCTCCAGAATGGAAAGGCCTGACTCAACATGCTTCAACAAGGTAACTTATTCTTTACATGGTAAGATGTCCCCAGATAGGGGGTCTCCATGGTTGGTTAATTTAGTGACTACACAGCCACATCAAAGCCTACAACACCTACGACCTGTCAGCTCGCTCTCAAGGCTGCAGTGTGACAGCAGCAACTATAAGCAGCTGCAAGCATCACACCTGCACACGCCCCCTTTCTGACAGAAAAGGGACTGTTTCATCCTTGGGTCTTCTTTGAGAGGCTAAGAACCTTCTACTGGAAGCTCTGTCTTCCCAGAGATCCCCCTGCATGTCTCCTTGGCCAGATGCCGGTCATATACCATTCCCTGAGCCACCTGCTGACAAGGAGAGCAGAATGTGAGGGAGTCAGACAAATCCGCCTTCACCCTGACCCTGACCAATGGACGAGCTCTGCCTGAAGCATGTAAGCTTCACGGAGCAATGTGAGTCCCTGGGCCAGAACCAGAGGGGGAGGAAGAACGCAGCCTGTCCCTCCTTGTGGTGGATGCTTCTCAGTACAGACAGCCCTCTCTGCATGGTCCTGGGACTTCAGTAACTTCGGTTAGCACAGTTTAGTTAAATAAGTCCACTCCCCCAACAGTTCCAGTTTCTGTCACCACAGTGCATTAACTATGAGTAATTGCAAAAAGCACAAACTTCACATCTAGCTTTTAAGTCTGCACATGACTATGTAAGTCCCAGGTGTGCATCATAATCATCTAACCGCCACGTGCCGTGGACACGCTGAAGAACAGGGTGGACTCCCACCAGAGTATGGTTTGGATGTCATGTGCACACCAAGAGGGCGTGTTTGTTATTTACATAATTAAAGCTTTCTGGGGAGAATAGGTGGGTCTTCCAAGCTAGTGTGAAAATGGCTTGGGAGCAAAGTGAAGGAGACAGGCTCGGAGTTTGTGGTGCTTCCAGTTTGCTTTGTGGGCAGTGCTGGAGTTTTACAAGTCAGGTTGGCAGAGTAGCAACCACAGGACTCTGCATTACTAAACCCAGTTCTAAATAAAGCTGAAATTTGGTGGGTTACGTGATCATTCTGGGCAAATGTGCCAGCTCCTATCGTATTTAGAACCCTGTGTTCTGAGGTGCTCAAGTTCACGCTGAGGAATTTGCTAAACAAATCCCTGGCAAAGAATCAGAGCAGTGATTTTCTGTATCCTTAAATCCTTTCAAGTAGAAATGGCAAAACATACTCCCAGAGTCCACAATTCCTAAACTTTTGGAGTTTCAATCTTGGAGTTTCTTGCTACTGTCTGAGTTTTAACTCACTCACTTCCCCAAAGGAGTAGGCTCTTTATTTATTTTAAAAGTTAAACGGAATAAAAACTTCTGCACTTTGAGTGAGGCAGCAATCTGGGCTAAAAAGAAATGATTTCACGTGTTTCCTATGGAAAACGGAAGACAGGCCTGCTCAGTCTACCTCCCAGGCATGGTAGGTGGTGTCTGTGCCCTAGCAAGCAAGCAAGCAAGCGAGGGTGGGTCCGGCGCCAAGGTGGGGGCAGGTGTCTAGCCGGAGCTGGCCGGGGACTTTCGAGCCCCCGGGGACAGTGCAAGTTTGCGGCAGTGGTTCGGGAGAGTGTAACAGATTTGGGGAAGATGGTTAATACACTGGGCTGGTGTTTGGGGGCTGTGCTCAAGGACAGGAGGTAAAGAGGAGTGAAATAGGAAAGGGGGTGGGGATGGAGGAGAAAGGGAAGGTAAAAGCACGGCAGAAAGAAATGGGGGAAAGGAGGGGATACCTCAGTGGTAGAGTGCGTGCGTGCACGAGGTCCTGGGTTCGAGCCCCAGTATCTCTGTTAAAATAAATAAATAAATAAAACCTAGTTGCCTCCCCTCACCCCCCAAAAAAAAGAAGTGAGAGGGAAGAAAGG